GCTACGTTTTGCCTTTCTGGTTAGGAAAGCTCCTTTAATTCGGAATGGGGGCGGGGGGCGCTCTGACCAAGCCCTCTCGGGAGGGGTGTAGGTGAGTCCGAAGGGTCTAATCGCTCCCCCAAAGCGTGTCCACGGCGGGAGCGGGATGGGAGAGTCTCAAAGCCAAAGGGGCTGCCGGCCTGGAGAAATGGGGGCGATCACCCCACGCTAACGCGGCCAGGGAACACGAGGAGGGCCCTGCGGGGTCCGCTGGGGCGCTGGGTGAGGAGACCCGGGAAAGGCGCCCGAGGCCGCGGGTCTCCCGGCTCCGCGCCAGCTAGCCGTCCCTTGGATCCGGTGGGCAGAGGCCGGAGATGGGTACAGGGACGCCCCTTGGCCAGGCTCTGCCCTCTCCGTGCTCAGGTGGTGCTCGGCGCAGGGGTGGGGGAGGGGAGCCTTGCCGCCACCGGACTCTTCCCAAGAGGCGGCCCCGCCCGCCATCCACTCTGCCAGGGCGGTCGGTGGAGAGGCAGCAGCCGGCGGGGCTCTGGCAACGGCCGGAAAACCCGCACGGGCTTCGGGACTGGACGGGGAGGGGTCTCAGGGCGGCCCTTCCCTCCATTCGCGGGCCGGGGATGTCCAGGCCCTCGGGGACGGAGGGTCTCTTGCGCGTCCCAAGTGTGGCCAACCCGCAGGCTTCGCTCTTTACTTTCCTTCCTGACCCTCTGGAAGAAGAGAACTCGGCCATCTGGGCGGCTCCGAGAGAAGGGATCCAGGCCAGGCGGCGTCCCTCAAAGAACCAGCCTCCTCCACCTTTGCGGGGGAGGCCTTCATGTTTGTTTATTATACCGTGCGGAGAAATCCATTTTCACTGCCCTTTTTAAAAAGTTTTTTTCTTTGTAGTGGCTATAGCAAACAGGTTTTTTTAATCGTTAGCCCAACACTATCACATCCACCGTCACTATGTCAAAGCTATTGCTTTCCGTTCTTCATTTCATCGCCAGATTCATACACAACGCAGTGCAATCTCACTGCCCTAATCGTGATCATCCTGGCCGCGGTATTTCTTTGTACCTAGCGCATCAAGGTTTAATATACGTAAGCTCACCGCATGACTTGAGATGTTTTTCTTTTCCTTGCAGAAAAACTCTAGGTAGCATAGGATTAAAGATTTTTACAAATCAAATGATCAGAAAAGATAGGAACAGAAAATTGAATTAAAATGTCAGACTTCTGCAAAAATGAACAAATCTCTCAGGTTTGAAGAAGAAAGACAAAAAAAATCACCAGTGAAAAGGAACACTTTTACCTACACAAACACTGAGGAGCTCTTACAATTAAAAATAACCAGAAAGCAGAGCTAGGACATGATTTGTATATTTTTTGTATATGATGCAAGTTTTTCATACTTGTGAAAGGAAAATATCAAAATTATAAAAAATAAATGGCGAAATGATGACTCATTTATGGAATAAAATACAAAATAAAGCAAGTCTGGATTATCAATTTACATCTATTAACAACATTAATAGTAACAGCAACCCCTGCTGGAAGTTTGCCCTGAAACTTGTATATTCAGTTATCTGGAGAGGTGGCAGGGCTTTGGGGTTAGAAAGATAGGTCTGCAACTAGCTTCATGACTTTGGACAGGTTACCTAACTTCCTAACCTCCTTTTGTCCATTCATAAAATAGGGGAAATGATACCTACTTCCAGAGTTTGTTAGAGATTAACCATCTATGTTAAAACTGACCATTGGTATATATACCTTTATTCTTTTCCTAGTCATACCCCACTGGGGACATTGTGAACAGGTACAAACTTTTTGTAAAGCAATCAGGTGATTACGCATTAAGAAGTTAAAAGTTGTGACCCAGAAACGCCACTCCTGGGAATTTACTTGTAATGGAAGAAATAAACAAGAAAAAAATTAAAAGCCCTATGCAGGCACATATTTGGGGCAGAATGACCTAAAATTAGAACCAACTGGGAAACAACCTAAATATGTAACAGCAGAGCAGTAGCTAAGAAATCATGGCACATTAATTGAAAAGAACATTATGTAATCATCAAAAGTCATGGAATCTGTGATATATGGGAAAAAATGACATGTCAAAGTGCAGGTTACTAAACTGTGTATCCACTTATATGTGAATGCATGTGGAAAGCCTGAAAAGAAAAAGCAAAAGAAACGTTTTAATAGAAATTATAGGTGATTTTAATTTTCTTTTTGTTCATATATTGCTTTACTAAATAATATAATTTTTAAAATCACAGATCTCAATTGTTTAAACGAAATGACTCAGTTTTCTGTGTGTGAAAGGAGAGCTCAGTGTCATGTTTACTTCTTTTTTAGTTGACCTTGTTTTTTTTCAAATATATTCCTATCTTAAATAGATTTATTAGTGGTTTAGTAACATATATTAAGCTTTGCTTGTAAAGAATCAGATCTTAGATTTATTTATTAATTCTAGGTTTTTTCTTTTCATTTTTAAGGACTCCTGAATATATTTGAAAACTGAACGATTTCAGCCAAGCCGACAGATTGTCTTCCCCAAGGCACAAATCCAGCTTAGATGTACGTACCGTGTGGCATCTCTTTGATCTTATGATGGTTGAAAGTCCCCCAATTGTCACAAAAAAATGAAGGTCTGGAGAGGCTGTGATCACCAGCCCCTGCTCTGAAGGCCACATGGATCTATTATGTAACTCACTGCTATTATATCATCTTTTCTTGTAAAATCAGCTCAATTTTGCAGAGAAAGGGACCCATTTTTTTTTCTAGAATCATGCTGAATTACATATGGAAGCAATCATTGTAAAAATAATATAATAAAATAATGGCATAAACATTTCTGCACCAAATTAACACCGAAGATGACTATCAACAAACTGACAAAAGATTTTATGAGGGGAAAAGTTTTCTAAGCTATAGG